AAGTAAATATTAACTTTCTGGCCTTGAACTCTGTGGTAGACATTATGAGGTACAAAAGAAGTGTAAGACATGCCCTTCACCTCGCCTACTTTTAGTTCCATTCATACTGCAACAGTGCTCTCCCTGGAGCCATTCAGTGGCTTCTTGTATCCAGGTTCTAAAGCATGTTTAATCTGGTCTAAATTACCACTAATTGCAGGAAAATAATCCTAGCTAATTTCCATTGGGTTCACCTCTGTGCATCCAGTGCACAGTGGTCTCACACGGGTCTCATCCAGATCACAGTGGTCTCACACAGGAGATCCCGGACGTGAAAATGGAGGAATGCCGGCTGCTGGGCCCTGATCTAATCCTCAGCAACAATGAGTTAGCTGGAATTATTTTGTCGTTGAAGAAACTGAGCTTCAGATAATTTAGATGACCTTGCCCAAAGCCACTACTATAAAGCGGCAGGATGAGACTGGAGTCCACGTCCGACCAAAGTGCTGTCCCTGTGTAAAGAGGGGAGTGATGAGGGCTTGTGTTGGGGTAGAGTTTATCCCTGTGCATGTGCCTCCTATTTAGATGAAGATCTATAATCCAGTTGCATGGATTCTTCTATTCAGGTAGCCAGGGTGCCTGACTGTCCTGGGTAGGTAGCATCTGCCCCTTAGTTCTGTCAGCAATCGCACAGTGGTATTTGGTCCTCTCCCACGGTATAAAGTGGTGCCGAGGAGGGAGGAGGCAGTGCGGGGAGGGGGGGGGGACTTTGACCACCATGCTTGATGGGAACAGTTTCTCTTCTAATCAGTGATGAATATGCCTCTCCTGATTATAGAAATCCATCTCTGTTTCCTCATTTGCCGTTTCAGGGGGTCATTAAGAATCCACTGTCTCTTGGATGTTCAGCTCTATTAGGCAGGCAGAAACTCATTTGGCATGGATTAGGCAGCAGAGAAAACCCTTGCCATGTGGGAGTAACCTGTCACAACCTGGTTTTCTCTGGCGAGATGACTGGTTTTGTCTAGTAGTAATGCCATTACAGCATTCCCATTCAGATCCCCATGACCCAGTAATTGTTTTGGGAATGAGTGCAAAGCTATCAGACACCAGCTACTATAATTAGAAAAGGGAAAAGCAGACACTTAGCAGAGCTAGCGTCTCTAGGCTGGAGCACTTACAGCACTGGTTTTTTTTGGGTGTTGTTGTTGTTGTTTTTAGGTTATGGAGTCTCCTTCTCAGTTTTGCTTCCTAAAATACAAATTCTACAGTTTTTGGGTTCTTGCATTCCAGTTTTTGTTACTGCAGTACACTCTCTTTCCTTTTCCCCCCTATTTTAATCAGAGTACAAATTGCTGTCAGCACATCGAGTTCATGTGCCAGCCACATTCAGAACAGGGTGTTCTGTGCTCTTCAAAACAAAATTGCTCTAGGGCAGTAAGAGAACAATAAGTCAGAGCTCCAGTTTAAGTGATGTTTTGCAGCAGACCCGGCTTACTTGATGTGGTTACACTCGGATTGCGCAGCAAAGCTCGGGTAATTTCATTTGGTTTGACTTCATGGGATTTGGAGGACCTCCCCTCTCCAAGTTACATAGACTTTAAGTCAAGAGAAAATGTTCCTTTTTAACTTGTGTATTTTTTTTCCTCTACCAAAAAAGCCCTAAGTAGAAGCATCCTGTATGTACTTTTATTCTCTTTGGGCACGTCATAGATCATTTACTTCCCGTAAATCATGCTGGTTGGAATTAGCAACAGACCTCCTGAGCCCTAGAGGCCAAGCTCCCAGTGAGTCATGTTAGTTATTATTAAATATTTATTAAGTGAGTATTTGCACTAAGAGATGCAAGGTCAAAAGCAACCACACGTCTTCCTTAGCCAGAGTTGCTACGGTTTCCTTTGGTATCGATTGTTGAGACAATTAAAAAAAAAAAAAAAAAAAAGCTGAGCACTGGACCAGTAGGAGCCAGCCAGGCACGTTTACATCTATCACCATGAAGGGGGGCCTCTGCTGTGGCAGTCCATGGTGCTCATTTCTGGGGCTCCAGGGTACTGTGTGAGTTCTTGTCAGCAGTCTTGTAGAACTTGTCACACCAGTGTTCTGAGTTTAGAAACCAGTTAAGAGAGATAGCCTTTGCTACTTAGAGATGTAAAGAATCAATGGACTGTTTACTCCCTGAGGCTGTGGTACCTTCTCTTTGACATTCCAGATTAAAAGGTAGTGGTTTTATATATACATATGAACTGGTGTGTGTGTGTATGTGTGTGTGCGTGTGCATGTATCGGTTTAAGATTTTTATGGTACTGTACGTAGTGTTCAACTCCAACTTAGAAGTTAGATTTAACAGAAAAAAAAATTAGCCCATATAATAAAGTAGTAAGTACAAGAGTTATTGCAGATTTTTGCCTTCCTACCAGGTGGCCATAAACGCTAGTTTTATCATTTATTGTCTCTCTTAGGCTAGCTGTTTTCATCATAGTGTGCTTACTTTCCTTATAATTTAAACTTGTTTTTTCAGCTTGCTTGCTTCACTGATCTTTCCTAACATGTTGATTAGTAGCCAATCTTTCCCCCTCTAATATGATGGGTTGTCCCCATAAAAAGAACTTCTGAAATTATTTACATAATTTTAACATCAAGTACATGAATCAAGCTGTAAACTAGCCTAGGAAACTGACACACAGGCAGGAATCCTTTGCAGAGTCTCTGGATTTCCTGTTTTGAAAACATTCAAACTTGATCAACCAAAAACCACAATGAATGTACTGATAGTTTCCTCCTCCACTAAATGTACTCTCCTTTAGGGAGGAAGATACTTCTAACAATAAACCTCTGACAGAAAAATCTGTCAGCTAAGTTGTGAAGTACTAGGATAAGTCTCAATACTTGAGAATATTCCATAATTCATAAGCTGAAATGCACTTTGCTCAGCAGTTTTTTGTTTTTGTTTTTATGATACTTCATGAAAAGTATCATCACATGAATCTCCCATCAATATCTTGGGCAGATTTTAAAGTATTTTAGAGCATAAACTTTTCAGAACTCTCAATTCCTTTAGTAACAACAGCTTTTATTTTAGTAAAAATGTCTTAAGCTTTAGACACCCTTCAGAACCTCTCTAGATGTATTTGAAAATAATTGAATTTATTTTGAAAATATTTTCTAATTCAAAAGAATTTTCTATGTGCTGTAAGTTGGTTGAGTTTTATTTTACCTGAAGCATTCCAAAAGTGACTGTTAGGATCATCTACATTTATGACTGTGGGACATAGAGCGAAGTTCCTATACGTCAACTCCACCCTGAGAGCCACTGTATTTCTTGCCTTTGTTTGGAGGGTCCTGCCTCCCTCCAATTTGGCCCAAGCTGCTTAAACTCCATCCTATGTCTGTGATGGAAGCACATCAGGAAGGTCTTAATCCTAGTAAATCAGAAAAGGGTAAAGAGCTTTGAAGCATAAATGTCTAGGTGGCATCATGGCTCTTGATGTCTATTCCACCACTGTTTACTTTTCAAGGTTTCTCTAATTTTTCAGGCCTGGGCTTAAAGGGTAACATGATCAAATGATAAGCTGCAGGAATTAGCTTTGAAGCTTGGTTTCTGACCTATATCGAGAACTATATCACTGGGTCATGGATTTATAAAATTATATAATTTCAGAGGACCTTTGAGATCATGTAATTCAAAAGTAGAGTAAGTTGGAATTGAATTTGTATTTGGAAACTAATAGTTGTCTCATGAAACAAGTATAACAGAATGAGTAATTTTTAGTCTTAAGCAAGGTAAAGTTAGAGAAAGCAGTAGAAAAGAAGTGTTTTAGGAAATTGTTACATTTCAATCTAGGCCATTATATTACAGAAATTAGAATAAGGAATTTTCTTAGGAAAGACCAATTACTACATTGCTTGATAACTGCCGTGCTATTGCATGAGCCATCCGTTTTTCTTACTGAGTCAAAGACCTAAATGGAAGAGAATGATATGAAAAATAGATGGAAAGATTCAGAGAGTTGTTTATCTTAGAAAAAAAGTCAATAGATTGAGAAAAATACACAGACCTAAATGTGTCTAAATGTGTTTTTCCTATTTTGTCTTGAAGAAACATAAAAGCTCCTTGTCTAATATGAAATTACCCTGGGAATAATCTGAGTGAGTTTGATTAGAATGGGTAATCAGGCCCCAAGAAATTGACCTCTTAACATTTAAGAAGAGATAGTTCAATAATTTGATTTGTGAAGTTATGGTAGACTAATAATTCCTTCACACTTTACAGTTATCACTCCACTAAGGGCTATAGCTGTGATATAGTTATTGATGACATTGGCTTTGGGTTTTCTGTTTACTCAAATTGATTTGTGAATGAGATTAGAACTCTTAAGAAAAGCTTCTTTATGCAGTTAACCTTTGTTTATCTTTGGGGAAATAGTCATTTAGTTCTTTTTTTACAAGCATCTGAAGTCAAGATGTCATAAATGTTTAAGTCGCTATATACTTGATATTAAATTTGACACCTTGATAATTATCTACCAAATATTTTAGCATTTCTTGATCCTGTTACAGGTGAGGAAATCTGTCATATAGTAGGTTAAACCTGTGTTTCCACTTTGTTTTAGTATCCACCAAGCTATCTTATTATTTTTAAAAAATTCATTTATTTATTTTAGAGCCTGAGTCGGGGAGGGAGAAGATGAGAGGGAATTCTCAAGCAGACTCCCTGCTGAGTGTGGAGTCCAAGCCTCTGAGATAATGACCTGAGCCAAAAGAGCTGGCCACTTAACCAACTGAGCCACCCAGGTGCCCCCAGCCTATCTTGTTGATACAGTTGTTGATAATTATAAGCTTAAACTTAGAAAAAAAAATAGGATTACCCTTAAATTTTCAGACTGGGTAGACTAAGTGTCAACAGGACATACCCCATTTGTCTCTGGATGAAATGAGAAAGGGGAAATAAGCCTTTATCCCTTCCCTAAATTAGCAAGCCCTGCGGAGCTCCTTTATTGACAGACCTGTCTCCTCTCCTTCAGTCCACCTGGAAGGCCGCTGTGATGGCAGGATGTTTGATTGCAGAGATGTGGTCTTCATTGTTGGGGAAGGAGAAGACCATGACATTCCAATTGGAATTGACAAAGCCCTGGAGAAAATGCAACGGGAAGAACAATGTATTTTATATCTTGGACCACGGTAAGGAGCATACCAGTTCCATACACAGTGAAGTTACCTAAAGGACGGAGATTTCAGTGTGTGTGTGTGTAGTATATGAAGGTGGTCTACTTTCATTCTTTTGCATGTAGCTCTTCAGTTTCCCCCACACCATTTATTGAACAGACTGTTTTTTTCCTCCATTATATAGTCTTGCCTCCTCTGGCATAGATTAATTGACCAAATAAGTGTGGGTTTATTTCTGGGCTCTCTGTCTTGTTCCATTTGAGCTATGCATCTATTTTGTGCTAGTATCATACTGTTCTGATTACTACAGTTTTGTAGCATAACTTGAAGTCTGGGAGTATCATACTTCCAGCTTTGTTCTTCTTTCTCAAAATTGCTTTGGTTACATAGAGTCTTCTGTGGTTCCTTATAAATTTTAGGGTTATTTGTTCTAGTTCTGTGAAAAATACTCTTGGGGGGCAGCCCAGGTGGCTCAGTGGTTTAGTGCTGCCTTCAGCCCAGGGCCTGATCCTGGAGACCCGGAATCAAGTCCCATGTCGGGCTCCCTTCGAGGAGGCTGCTTCTCCCTCTGCCTGTGTCTCTGCCTCTCTCTCTCTCTCTCTCTGTGTTTCTCATGAATAAATAAATAAAATATTAAAAAAAATACTCTTGGTATCTTGATAGAAATTGCATTGAATCTGTAGGTTGCTTTGGATAGTATGGACATTTTAATAGTATTAATACTTCCAATCCAAAGGTGTGGCACATCTTTCCATTTGTGTCATCTTTAATTTCTTTTATCAGTGTTTTATATTTGTGACAAAATGGATAGACCTAGAGGGCATTATGCTAAGTGAAAGAAGTCAGTCTGAGAAAAATACCATATGATTTCCCTTATATGTGGAATCTAAAAAACAAAACCCATGAACAAACAAAACAATCAAATACAGAGAAGGAACTGCTGGTTGTCAGAGGGTTTGGGGGGGGTTAGGTGAAATACGCAAAGGGGGAATTAAGAGATACAAATTTATGGTTATAAAATCAATCACAGGGATGAAAGGTACAGCACAGGGAATATAGTAAATAATATTGTGCTGATATTACATGGTAATGGATGGTAATTGTACTTACGGTGAGCATAGTGTAATATACAGAATTGTCAAATCACTATGCTGCACACCTGAAACTGATACAACATTGTATTCAACTATACTTCAATTTTAAAAAAACAAAAACAGATACATTTGCTTTTGCAATCAACATTTTAGTTTTTTCAATGAAGTTAATGCTAAGGAAACAAATCAGTCTACAGTTAAGTCATGGAGTGAATTGATAGGCCATATAGTATCACAAAGATCTGCAAGCCTGTTTACTTGATTGTTGTGTGTCAAGGATAGGACTGACAGGCAAGTTTTGCTGTTTTATGTGTTTTGCCTGCTTTATTGCCAAGACAGGAAGCTATTGGCTCATCTCATGTGCTTCTCTTGCCCCCCTCTTTCCTTTTCTCTAAATTAGGTGGGAGGTAGTAAAACATGTGAAGGTTGGAAGTAGAAGAAACATTTGGATGATTTATTACCACTTGAATTTGTGCCACCTGTTCTTATACAGAGCCTCTGGAAAAAAAAAAAAAAGTGTTCTTCCTGAATCTAAAGGCAGCGGAGATGACTCATTTTTGCCTAAATTTTTCCCATCATAAGGATATCCATTAGCACTTCCCAGCTTAGAACTATCAGACACTAACAGTCTCTCTTGTGAAAACATGTTTGGTATTATTTTTAGACCTAAAATTATACCAATCTAACCCTTCTATCTTGAGAAAGGGACCCTTGAGAGAAACCAGGGTGTTTTGATTCTGTTTGCATGAAAGTGCATCTGCTTATCTGGAGTTTCCTCCCACTCTGGCTCCTTGGATTTCAGTCCCTAGGGTTTGAGTTATTGAGAATCTGGATGGCTTGCACTTACCAATAGGTACCATCGTGCCTTTTGTACAGTTGCTTGCCTTTTAGGAGCCTCAGAAGTAATCCAGTGGCATATTCACCTTTGCCCTCATAACTTGAGCTTTGATCCTATTTCTCATGGGTGGGTTTGGCCAGGTCTCCAAATGCTCTATACCTTGATCTGTTTTAGAGCCTTCAAAGAGGCACCATTTATTTCATATCTTCTTTTTCTCTGTCATCCTTTTTCCACTACTGTATTCCTGCTTTAGTGTGTTTTATTTACATTTACCCTATAGTTGTATTTCACCTTCAGGGGAACTTATTTCTCTCATTCTAGAAGGAACTATTCTTTACTCAAGTAGAGCATAGAGAGAGCTTCTCTTCCATATCCAGGTAATATCTCATTATTTTTAATCTAGCTTTCTACAATTATAGTTCTAGACTCATATAAAGAGAGTGGTATTTATGTCCACTGTATGCTTTCAGGTTTAAGTTCTACAGTATCTACCATATAAAGTTGTGGAGGTCTAATGAATGTGAAGAACTTTGCAGAGTGCCTGACACATAAACTCTCAGTACATTAGCTGTTATTGCTGTGGTGACTATTTTTCTATTCTATTTTACCCTCAGACTACAAGAAAAAGGAAACCCTGTTTTAACATAGGGTAGATTTTTAAAATATTTTCAATCATAAAAGTAATCAAGTTTTAATAAATTTCTAGGTATAAATTTTTTCATATGTCTCATGGTAAATAAATCATCACAGTTAGAAAGGAACATACTGTCTTCAAGATTACTCTTGAGGAGTAGTATAAAATGCACAGTCTGTGGTGTAAGGCTTTGCGTAGGTTCACTATATAAGACTAGCCATATAGGTAGACCATCCCCACACCAAGCAGTGTGAGTGCTCGCAGTGGGCTTACTTGTCTTGCTCAGATCCCCACACAGCACAGAATATTGCATCTGAGTGTCGCTGTACATGTGGCTGCTGCAAATGCACGCTCTGTAGTTGTCTCACGTCATCTGTGTTTCATTCTCTAGAAAATGTTCAGGGCACACCTCTGCGACTCTGAGAGACCCCTTGGTAGGATATTTTCGTAATAAACTCATAAAACACTTCCACAGAACCCGTTTTCTTTCTTCTCAACAGAAGAGTGTCTTTTATACAGTGTTTAATACTGTGACCTGTTGTTTGTTTTAGGTAAGGTACAGCTAGTTACAGTGTTTTTGCTCCCTTTCCTTGTGTTTCTGTCCTGCACCAGTCCCAAACAAAAAGACAGGCTGCCAAACAGCCATGATGTTTAATTATGAGGCAGTGTGGGTTTAAAAATAAACAGTTTTCTGGGGACACACAGAGTCTGAATTTAAATCCTGGCTCTGCCACTGCCTTTTTGTGTTAACATCCAGAAACACTCCCCTCTGAGCCTCAGTTTCTTTATCTGTAAAAATGAAGCAGTCAGTAAGCACTTGTGGTACTTCTTGTATGCACATGAAGCCTTATTGGTCATGTGCAGATACGTTTTGTATCTCTGCTGTCTGCCGTTAATTCAAGAACATTAATACCAGATTCCTTCTGTTACTGTAACCCAGCTTTCGTCTTTGGGCTAAGTCTGGGAATTCCATTTGTGACATTCTGTCTTTCAGTCAGATGAATTTGTGTGCCGTGGGCCCTTGGTTACCCAGGCCAATCTGACATAAGTCAGACAACTGTCTGTATAGCTTGGAAGTCAGGATAGATGCTCCCAAAACAGCTTGGCGTGTGGGCTTTCACCTCCCTGGGGTGGTGTGCTTCACATAAATCTTCATGGAATCTCTCCATTCGAAACCAGGAGAGATTGTAGAAATAAGGTCTACAATCAGTCTTCTTTAATCCAATTGATGATGAATCAGGACAGTTTGGTGCATTCCTTGACCCAGCCCTCCCTGCCTCCCCCAGCCTTGGGACTTCAATTCACGAGTACCCCTAAGGCAGCTTGTCTCATCCTCAGCACTGTTGACATTGTGGGCCAGATACTTCTTGGTTGTGGGGGCTGTTCTGTGGCTTGTAGGATATTCTACCCACTAAATGCTAGTAGCACCCCTGTGGTTGTGGCAAACCCTAAATCTCTAGATACTGCTAAATGTCTCTTTTGCAGGGATTAAAATCACCCCTGTCAACAGTCACTAACCTAAGGCAAGTATCAGACTATCAATTACTGGGTTTGTACCTGTTTAGCACAGGGCTCCAAATACCACATGCTGTCAGTACAGATGATCTGCAAGGACTCCCCTATCCATCTAGTTCCCAACAGTTAAGGAATGTTTGCTATCTACCAAATGGTAAAAACCAAATAGATGTATAGGTCTAAGAGCTCCAAGTAGAAAACTAGTCATGACTGCCTAAAATTAGCCACTGGTAATTATGTCCTCTCTGATTTCTTTGCTGAAGATACCCTTTGCCCTGCTATTAAAACTACCACACCTCATTCCTACCAATTCTCTTTGTATCTCTGTACCTCTCTCTGGCTCCAGCTTTCATTTTCTTGTGTAATAGCAGAGGTGAGTAAGCATTTTCTTCCTGAAAAATCCAGGCAAGAGGTAAAGAGGGTGGTATAAGCCACAAGATATGAGTGTTCTCTGCCCACCCCACCCCCAGTCATTTTGCCCCAGAGAAAATGGGAGGTTTTAGCATCCATCTGGTTTTGGCATCCTTTTGGGTTTACTAAGTTATCTTACAGTACTATTCCCTATACTCGAGAGTAGTTTAGCATTGAAACAGATGGGAACAGAATATATTCCAGTGAACACTTTCATGATGATATGCTGGGCATTGTACTGAATGCTGGGAAACCATTGGACCAGACAGACAACGCCACCAGCATTGCCATTACAGGAGATACGTGCTTTTTGAATGCTCTAGGTTTGTTTAAAGACCTTCAATGACCTGGAAGAAAATAAAAACAGAAAAGCAATTTATATACCTTCAGTCATGTTCTTTGGTAAGTTTTGGCTAACAGGTGTAGTGTTTTATAGTGTGATAGCCACAAAGCTATGAGAGCATTTTTCTTGATGAGGTGTTAGAGCTTGCCAGGGCTGTTCTTTATGATTATACATTTGTTCTATCATTTGTGTGTTCTGGTGTGCTTTTAAATGTCTTGCAGAAATACTGGGAAGATTAATTTCCTTCCTGATGTGTGAGCCTTCTTCCCTTCTTCTATTTACCTGACTGGAAGTGGTACTACTGGAGGGAGACTGCACTTTAAAGTTAAAAGCTTATTAAAATATAGCCTCTAATGAACAGCACTGTAACAGTCACAGTGCCTGTCTTCTCTGTGCTGCTGATAAAGCTTCGGGGAAAAGTCCTGATAGCCAGACAATGGCTATTTTATACAAAGAACTAGATATGAAATCAGAGGAAAAGGCAGTGAAATTTAAAATCACATCAAGGAAGATTTCCCAAGTAGTACAGGTGTTACATTACATGTGCTGGTGAAGGAGAAAAGAAAACTAAATCTAGCCTGGTTTCTTCAAGAGCCACAGAGCGGCACTTGGCACTGTATCTTCTGATCCACAGCTGGTTTGTCTTCAGGGTCCCTGATGTGTGTAGTGTCCAGATGAGAGCTCTGTGCTACTGTGATGCCTCAAAATACCAAAGGCAGTGCCTGGAAATACATCAGTTCTTTTTAAAGTTTTTTTGTTTTTTTGTTGTTGTTGTTTTTACTCTCTGTTTCAGATATGGTTTTGGAGAGGCAGGGAAGCCGAAATTTGGCATCGAGCCTAACGCTGAGCTTATATATGAAGTGACACTGAAGAGCTTCGAAAAGGTGGGAAAATACCCGCTTCTCTGAAATCATGGTAGATTTCCTCTCTGCCAGCTCCCGATAAGTGACAATTGGATATCATTAAGTGGTGTGGATGGATGGTGTTTATTCGTATGTTGTGCTTTTCGTGACCAAGTTTGTCTCTTGTCTTTGACACTGCTCCCAGAGTACGAGAGAGCTGATAGCGCACAGCTGATACACAGCAAAGGAGCTCAGTGTTCTTATTTTGTTCCTACGTGTCAGCCTTTTTTTTTTTTTTTTTTTTTAGTTTTAGTTTTTTGGGTAGAATCCAAGACTTGTTCCCTTATTTGTTCCTAGACTTGTTCTTTCTGTACTTTTTTTCCTGGGTTGAAGACAAAAAGGTTCACATTCTGCCAAGCAGCTCCTTGGGGGAGTGGGGTGCAGTTTTCTAGTGTTGAATGGATCGTACCCCTCTCCAGAGTCATGGAGAGGCCTTCACTGTGGCTCCAATTTGTTATCCAAAGTGCAGGTCTTCCTGGGTCCCCAAACTCTGTAACCAGGGACAAAAGAGACCAACCTGCTGACCCTCTGGCCTTTCCTTTTTCCACACACCCAAACCTGCTGACCCTCTGGCCTTTCCTTTTTCCACACACCCAAGTGTAAAAAAAGAGTCTGTCTGTTGCCTGGGGTTCCAGAAGTGGCATACCTCCTGGCGCCTGTCTTTATCCCAGGCCTACCTCTGGAGGCTCCCATCAGCAGCTTCACCAGTCACACATAAAGCCTGTGTCTGCGCTAGGTATGCCATCACATCCAACGTAGTCCCCCTGCATCACCACGGCCCCACCCTGCCCGGAGAGTTTCAAGAACTGCATTTTGAATACCTTTTTTTAATTCCCACAATGTTGTCTCCATGCTCTCTGTACATTAAGCTGTGGACTAGAAATGTGACTATTTACATTTTATTAGACTTAGTCAGGAAACAGTTGTCCTGTAGGGCTGTAACTTCGGACTAAGACAGGGGAAGACTGCTTTGGGATTTTCCCCCAACAATGATGTTCCTGATCATACCCTTCACACTCCGTGTTCCCCAGAGTAAACATTCGCTGTTGTCATGACCATCGCTAATTGTCCAGTTACCTCTCCTGAAGGCCTGCCAGCTCAGCGCTGATCCTCCAAAGTGGTCTTCATAGCACAATGTTTTTTATTATTAAAGGGAGAGAAAATAATCTTTAGCATATGGTTATTTAGACCTTTGGCTTTCCTGTTTCCATTTAATCAAGTAACCCACAGCCCCTTCCCATCCACAGTTCAGTGGACATTGAGGAGCGTTCTCACTGTTGTATGCAGGAAGCAACCCTGCGTGCACCTCTTGCTCCAAGGGGTTGTTCCATGAAACACTGCTCCGTATATTTGAAACCATGTGAAAGTGTGATGTTGGAGGCAACATGATTTAAATCTCTGCCTCATAGTAGTAAGAATGTATTTATACTCTGAAAAGACTGAACTCCATATAAAAAAAAATGCAAAGGGACCTTGTTACTAGATTTTTAACTAACAGAGCTAAATTGTTAGAAGCAACATAAGGTTGCCAGAAAGACTAGTAACTGTCATTATTCACTCGGTGGGGCGGGTGGCAGCAGGAAAACATCACTAATTATTTTTTTGAATAGAGAGAATTTCGCAGTTACCCACTAGAGTTTTGTAATTCCTGTGTAGTAAGTAGCACTAACACAGCCACTGTCTTTTTCCCTAAAGCATCCCAGATTGTTCTCTTGACTCTTGATGCTCCCTTGAAATCCACCTATTCTTAATGAAAGTGAAGTTATCTCTGGATTCCTTTCTCTAATGGTGGAGAGAAATAATACACATGATCCAAAAGAGCAAATGGTCATGAAATCCTTTGCAACAGTTCTACATCAGCTTTATCTTCCCTCTTATGTATTACTTGAAATCCCCTAGGTATCTGTCTGCAGGTTGACTGAGTTTGGACACTTTAGTGCATACCTGGTTATTTCAAAGCAGAGAGACAACAATGTGACCTGGCATTTAAAAAATTCTGTGTGAATATGCAGCCATGACTTGACTACGTAGTGGTCCCATTGTAGAGTTTGAAACACTGAGTCTTGAGAGAAACAACTTGCTGATGTTGTAATGGCAGTTGGGGCGGGGGGGACACTGGGTTTTATTATTTGTCCTCTCCTCACAGCTCCAAAGGTGCACTCTTTAACAGCACATGACAGCTTATGTTCCTTACTGTATTTTTGCCTGCCCCTCCTTCTCAGGCAGCATGGGTCAGACAGCAGCTCAGTCATCACGGAAGGTGAGCTCCAGCCTAGCAGTGAATGGGCAATGGCGCAGAGTTTTAAAAGCTAGTGTGTTCTGAGGTGTGTGTATCCTAGAAGCAGCCTCTCTGTTCTTACAGGTATCAACTGATGCATTTTCCTTCTCTGTTCATCTAACTGTTTTTACAAATTTACATAACAGGCCAAAGAATCCTGGGAGATGGACACCAAAGAAAAATTGGAGCAAGCTGCCATTGTCAAAGAGAAGGGAACTGTGTACTTCAAGGTATGTGAGTCCTTGTACAACTTTTTCCATCTCAATAATTTATTCAAGTGTCAGTGAATTGTGCTAATATTCCATACTCTGAATTCCATCAGCACCCTTTTGGATAAAAATAAGCCTGAATTTTTGCAAGTCTGTCATTTTCAGTATTCATTATAAATAGTGAGAAAGAATGGATTAACATGACAAAAAGAATACAGATGCCTCTTGTACACGTTCTGCTGTAGATTGTAACCCTCCATAAAGGCAGGCCAGGTCCTCCTGGCCTACCTACCACTGTATCACCCAGGGCCTAAGGTTACTTGCTTGGTCCGTAGTTGGTACTCAAGTGTTTGTGGAATGAAACAAAGAATGTACAGAATAATTGTTAGTAAGTGAGAATTAGTGGAGGTAAGTTTCACATCATTTTCCTCTCCGCTGTCTTGGTGAAACCACTAAGGCATATGACAAAAGGAAGGAGAACTTGCACAGATCCCAAAAGAAACCGACAGGAGGAGAATGTTCATTTTCTCTAGTAGCCAAGATAATCCCTGCCATACTTGGTTTTGTGAGGAATCTTGAGAAACTCCTGAATGATACTTGTTATTGATTGCTTCTTGAAAGCCCTTTCTTGTTACCTCTCAGAATGTGATACTTCCTCACTTAGATCTTAACCCCCCAGGTATAAAAGAAAACAACACTTTATTCAGCTCTAATCAGAATGCTCTGTCCATTTCTTCTCCACACCCAACCAAGTACCTTCTCCATATCCAGCAGAAAGGGCTTGGCTTAGAGAAGAGAGAGAAAGAACAAAAAAAAGAAAGAACGAAGTTTTGTCAAGGTTTCTTTCTTTTTTTTTTTTTCTTGCCACTGCAGCCCATGAACAAAATTGGATGATATTTTCAGCAGTCTAAAGCAGTGATGCCTAAATGTCCTTCAGCAAGTCTTTATGGAGTGTCTGTTCTGAGACTGGCTATTGTACTGACAACCTTTTCTGGAGGGAGGGGAAGCAGTGTTAACCCCCATGAAACAACTAGAGAATTATGTAAGACTATATAATCAAGACAGAATTCAGACAGCCAGGGGCCAACATGTGTGGTTATTGTTTTTCAGACTGTGAGAACAGACCTATTAGTAAAGATAGATTTTGTTTCATTAAGTTTGTTCAGCTGTGTGTGAGTAGGTACGGGATCATAATTGAAAACATGTTTCTTGCTGTGGGTTGTAGCTAAACAAGTTTGAAATGTATTAGTATAGATAATATATAATTATTTACATCTCTTTATAGCTATTATACTATACTTATAGCTATACTAAAGTAATGTGTGAATCACCAGAAAGCTTTGGGGAATGGTGGCATGAGCCAAATTGGGAGAACTGGGCTTTATGGCACCAAGTGATTTAAAGCCATTTAAGGTCCAAAGAGGTTACTTTTGTGTGTGTAAGGTGATGGAGTTAGGGGCACCTGGGTGGCTCAGTTGGTTCGGCATCCGACTCTTGATTTCAGCTCAGGTCTCATAGGCTCGAGCCCCAAGTCAGGCTCCACACTCAGTGCAGTCTGCATCTCCTTCTCCTTCTGCTCCTCTCCCTGCTCGAGTGCATGCTCTCTCTTTCAAATAAAGAAATAAGGGCAGCCCAGGTGGCTCAGCGGTTTAGCGCTGTCTTCCGCCCAGGGTGTGATCCTGGAGTCCTGGGATCGAGGCTTCCTGTGTGGAGCCTGCTTCTCCCTCTGCCTGTGTCTCTGCCTCTCTCTCTGTGTCTCTCATGAATAAATAAATAAAAATCTTTAATAAATAAATAAAATCTTTAAAAAAATGTGATGGATTTGAGAAGTTTCTTGCTAAAGTTCTGTGAGTTTCAAAAGTCTTGAGAGCAAGTTTGATCTTTTTAAATTTGGATTGAAATATATTGGATATTTCTAAGTTATTTAAGTAAGATTCCACGAGTTATTTGTAGACTCAAATACATACCACACTAGAATAAAATACTTTTTGCAAAATCCCTTAGGACTATAGGTTGTGAGTGGTGTTTCCTAGAGTCTATAAAGTCCTTACTGTATTTTTTATATTTCCCAAACTTATAAATAGAATATTAATAGTTTGGGGATTGGGGAGTTGGGGTTTTTGGCATTTGACTGGAATTCTATCAACTCTGTGTAGTAAAACAGCTCAGCTATTCAGAAGTTCTAATTGGTTGCTGATGACTCAGAACTTTAGGGAACATTATTGGTAATGAAGTAATGTGGCAAAGCCACGTGTCGTTTAGCTGTGTCCCGGACACATACAGTGAGATGGCCAGGATTAGTGATGAGCAGCAGAAAGCAATGCTTCAGTGTCCTTACAGTTACTTAACTTTGTTGCTTCTAAGCATCACAATTGCAGTAGTGATTTTTGTATTTCATAATATTACGAACCCTCTTAAAATTACTGATCTTTGGATGAAATCTGGATCAGCAGTCACACATATGGAACATATTATTTTTAACATGCAATTTGATAGACAAAATCTGTCAAAACATTTGTCTTTTGGGGGAAAATTAATGGAAGGTTCAAAACCACTGACCTAAGACTTTTCTCCCAGAATGTCTCTGAACATTTTGTACTATTAGAAACTTCCCTGGAGGTACCTTCATAATTATGGGTAAAAAAAAATCCCAGCAGTGATCCTAGTTTTAGATGTAAGACTTCAAAATGGTCGGTAGATAGTTTCCTATACGCATTCCCTTTTAAAAATTCAGGGCAGGTTTCAATCTGCCACTCTGCCCTCCTGGGCCTCATCTTTCCAGAGTGTTTGACTTGGCACGTTGTGCACATGCACAGAGTCCAGATGTGTGGGTGAGAGCAGGGATGGGGTAAAATAAAAATCTACATTTCATGCCATCTGGTACATTACAGACCCATCCATTTTCATCAATCTGTCGGTTTGGTTTACACATAAAATGGGTAAATTTCTCCTGTTAGTAAAGTGTTGAATTGCACTCAGTTGTAAAATGGGAATAATTTTATGTTTAGATTGTAAACTCCTCATACCAACCTCTGAACACTAAAGAAAAGAAAGGCAAAAGACTCTTCATTTGTCTCTGAAAATAATTAAACAGATACAACATGCTATTATGCCAGGCCTTGTGCAAGCCAATTAAACAGACATTATTTTTGCCCTCAGAGCTGATAGTGTTCTGCAGGACAAGAGCACTAGCTGTCATACTTGGTTAGTGTTTCTCTTTTCTGACTTGGAGGCAGAGTGGTATGAAGTCTGAGGACGTTGCCATGAAATGGGGTTCTTGCGCCCCCTTGTGCTCCTTGGGGAGAAAAGCATTTCTCAAGCAAGCTCATTAAGGATCCTTGATGGACTGCTGAAACCTTTTCAGAGGAACCAAGCTTTGCTATGTTTTGACTTTGCTGAACCAAGAAGCCAATGCTGTAATTTAGAAACATGTCATCCCATAACTCTAGGATTTTAAGCTTAATGAAAAAAAGTCCTAACGAAGTCCCCAGGATCACGCCCTGGGCTGAAGGCGGCGCTAAACCGCTGAGCCACTTGGGCTGCCCTAAATAAAATCTTTAAAGAAAAAACGTGAAGGAACTTACTATGAAGCCTATTACTTAGTTTTTTGGTTTTGATTTTTTGGTTTGTTTTGTTTGCTTGTTATTTTGAAACCATAGCTCCCTGCTATTCTGACTGTTTAGAACCTACCATTATTATTTTTTTATTCATTTGAGAGAGAGCATGAGAGAAAGAATGAGAGAGTACTAGCACGGAGAGGAACAGAGAGAGAAGCAGGCTCCCCGCTGAGCAGGGAGCCCGATTCAGGTGTCAATCTCAGGACCCTGGGATCATGACCTGAGCCAAAGGCAGACACTTAACTGACTGAGCCACCCAAATGCCCCAAAACCTACCATTATTATAAGACATGGATCACTGTCTTCTCCAGCTTTTTTCTTTCCCTGTAATAATACATAGGAGATAATCAGAAAAAGTAATAGGTACATTTGAGGAGGAGAAAGAAGGAACTAAGGCAGAACAGTCCTTCTTACCTAACCTAAATGAAACAATACCTTTCATGTCTACCCACTTCTCCATTTTTGCTCCCAATGATAATGTTTTAATTCCATAGGGCAGCCCGGGTGGCTCAGCGGTTTAGCACCACCTTCGGCCCAGGGCATGATCCTGGGGACCTGGGATTGAGTCCCGTGTCGGGCTCCCTGCATGGAGCCTGCTTCTCCCTCTGCCTGTGTCTCTGCCTCTCTCTCTCTCTCCGTCTCTCATGAATAGATGAATAAAATCTTTTTTAAAAATTCCATAGTTATATCTTTGATCTTAATCTTCCTTCAGCAAACCTTCAGTAAGGGCCTCTTTGTGCTAAAGTATCTTTGGATATTCCAAAGGGATAAGATGTGATTCTGTCCTCAATTGCTCACCATCCCAAGAGAAAAGACAGGGACAGAAAGAAATGACAACTTGTAAAAAAAAAAAAAATAAATAAATAAATAAATAAAAATAAAGAAATGACAACTCGTGAGGACTTTCTTTTTTGTAGTGTCCCAAAAAGGAGTAGTGGGCCTTGGGCTCTGACAAAAAATAAAAGTGTTGTCTTCATTTCCTTGGGCTGCCATAACAAAATCTCATAGACTGGGTGATATAAACAACAGGAGTTTATTTCTCACAGTTGTGAAGACTGGAAGTCTTAAGATCAAGGTGCCAGCAGGGTTGATGTCTTGTAAGAGTGCTCTTCTTGGGTTTCAGATGGCTGCCTTCTTGCTATGTCCCCAAATGAACTGTCCTCGGTGCTTGCAGCAAGGGAGAGAGAGAGGAAGCAAGTTCTCTCGTGTCTCTTACAAGGGGATTAAGTCCATCATGAGGGCCCCACTTTCAGGATCCCATTTGAACCTCATTATTTCCCAAAGGCCCTATCTCCAAATATCATCATGGAGATAGGCCTTCACCATATGAATTGAAGTCACAGGGGATAACACAGTTCAGTAAGTCTTCTCTAAACAAGTCACATGTGAAGCGGGATGTTCAGTGAGGGATGTAACTTTCCTTTGATTCAGACTTAAGCCTTCCACTTGGAACTGGTCTGCCCATCCTCATCACCAAAAATCAGCATCAGGGCTGCTTCTACAAGTGGAGCCATTTCTTCTGTGAACCACTTGACGTCTTTTAGAACAGGAACATTCTTGTAGATCTGCTCTGGGTTTTTCTCTTGTCATTGGGTGACCTTTGGGGTGCATGTGTGAAGACAGTTCTACATTGAGGTGTATACACTGCTTTGACTACAGTAAATCCTCCTGACATCATCTTAACACTACGTGGCTCAGACATTGGATATAATACCTTTGAGGATCTGGCTCCAATTACGCCATATGCTCGGTAGGATGTGTCATCTGTTCTCAGTCTTATAATCAACTCCTTCAGAGGAGATTCCTCACCTGTACTTTTTTGTGTATTTACCAGCTGTCACTTCTTTCATCTTAAAATGGCAATAAACACATTGTCTCAGCCCCATAATTTCTTGTATGGAGCATATATATAATTAATTCACCTGAATTGACTACACAGTTGCTATTCATAATTGTTAAAATTCTACTAATCAGGTAAGAGCAAAAATATGTTGAGATTTTTCTCATGTAGTTAGCTGACTGACATCTATGTGATTTATGTTGTAGGGTTATTTATGTTGGATACTATTCAACTATATATTTCCCTTGTCTGTAGACGAGAGGTCAGCAAACTACAGCCTGTTGTAGTAAGATTCTATCAGGACACAGCCACACACATTTACAGGCAACCCTTAAACATGGGTTTGAACTGCACCTGTCCACTTACTTATATACAGACTTTTTTTTGACAGACTCACTACACTATCATAAATATATTTTCCCTTATGATTTTCGGAATAACATTTTCTTGTTTCAGGCTTGCTTTAAGAATACTGTATATGAGAGACACCTGGGTGGCTCAGTGGTTGAGCGTCTGCCTTTGGCTCAGGGCATGATCCCAGATTCCCGGGTTCGAGTCCCACATCAAGCTCCCTGCATGGAGCCTACTTCTCTCCAGAAGACATAGGCAGAATGCCTATGTCTCTGCCTCTCTCTCTGTGTCCTTCATGAATAAATAAGTAAAATCTGATACAAATAACATGTAAAATGTGTTGATCAACTATTACCAGTAAGACTTACAGTCAACAGTAGACTGTTAATAGTTAAGTTTTGGGAGAGTCAGGGAAATGCAAATCAAAACCACAATGAGATATCACCTCACACCTATCAGAATGGCTAAACTCAACAACACAAGAAACAACAAGTGTTGGGGAATATATGGAGAAAAAGGAACCCTCTTCCACCATTGGTGGGAATGTAAACTGGTGCAGCCACTGTGAAAAACAGTATGGTGGGTCCTCAAAAAGTTAAATATAGAATTGCCCTAGGATCCAGTAATCATGCTAATGAGTATTTACCCCCACCAAAATACAAAAACACTAATTCAAAGGGATACAGGCACCCCTATGTTTATAGCAGCATTATTTACAGTAGCCAGGATGTGGAACCAGCCCAAGTGTCCATCAATATGTTAATGGATAAAGAAGATATATAATGGAATAACAGCCATAAAAAAGAATGAAATCTTGCCATTTGCAATGACATGGATGGAGCTAGAACATATAATTCCAAGTGAGATAAGTCAGTCAGAGAAAGATAAATACCATATGATTTCACTCATATGTGGAATTTAAGAAACAAAACAAATGAGCAAAGGGGTGGGGAAAGAGACAGACCAAGAAACAGGCTCTTAACTATAGAGAACAAACTGATGGTTACCAGGGGGGAGGGGGCTGGGGGGAATGGGTAAAATAGGTGAGGGAGATTAAATAATGTACTTGTCATGATGAAAAAATGAATATATAAAATAATAAAAGTAAATCATTTTTGAAATAAGTTGTACACAGGTTTTCGACTGCCTGGGAAGTCCCAACCCCAACCTGTGTTGTTCAGGGATCAAGCACATTGTATACTGTCTATAGCTGCTTTTGCACTACTGTTGACCCAGTTGCAACAGAGATTGTTTGGCCTGCAAAGCCTAAAATATTTATTATCTGCCCCTTTACAGAAAAAGTTTGGCAACTCCTGGTTTAGGTAACTTAAGATTTGCTGTGTTTACAGCTGGCACTTGCCAGAATGCAGTCTCTTCTACGGAGTGCTGATCCTCAGGAGATGAGGGAAAAGTAACTTCCCCTTCAAGTAAATTAGTGATAGAGTTTAAAACTACTCACCCGGCAGCCTGGGAGGCTCAGCGGTTTAGCGCCACCTTCAGCCCAGGGCGTGATCCTGGAGACCCCGGAGCAAGTCTCACATCGGGCTCCCTGCATGGAGCCTGCTTCTCCCTCTGCCTGTGTCTCTTCCTCTCTCTCTCTCTCTGTGTGTGTCTCTCATGAATAAATAAATAAAATCTTAAAAAAAACTACTCACCAACGTTTTGAAAGTCTGATAAATACTTGTACCAAAGAATGTAACCCAAAGCCTTGATGCCCTCCTGCTGGAAGAACTGTCCCCTCTGAAAAAGATGAGATGGTACATGCTGGAGAATAGCATTCCATAATTCACTGTCCCAAACCAGCTCAGAAAGCACTGGCACTGCAAGGAGAATGGAGAAAGGGGCCGGGATGGCTATCTCTCAAGAGCAAAAAGAAATGATCAAATACCATGGTCAGTAGGAGAGGTTGTTTCACTTTGATGATTTGGTTTTTTTAAGGGAGGCCTGAGCTAACATTTCTCTTGTACCCCCAACCCCCAGAGCCTGTACAACAAATTCTCACTAGCTTTTTTTTTTCTACCAGGGAGGCAAGTACATGCAGGCAGTGATTCAATATGGGAAGATCGTATCGTGGTTAGAGATGGAATATGGCTTATCGGAAAAGGAGTCAAAAGCTTCTGAGTCATTTCTGCTTGCCGCCTTCCTGAACCTGGCCATGTGCTACCTGAAGCTTAGAGAATACACCAAAGCTATTGAGTGCTGTGACAAGGTAGAGTGTCTGTGTGTGGACTGGACTTGAGATGTTCCAGATCTTTTTCTTCATCTTCATATTTGGTCATCTTTTGCTCCTTCGTAGCCAAGGGGTGGAGGGTTTTTCATTTTGTTTTGTTATGTTCATTTGTTTGCTTGGAGTTGTTTCTTTTTCTTCTTCTTTTTTTTTTTTTAAGATTTTATTTATTTATTCATGAGAGACACACAGCTACAGAGAGAGGTGGAGACACAGGCAGAGGGAGAAGCAGGCTCCACACAGGGAGCCCGACGCGGGACTCGATCCTGGGTCTCCAGGATCAGGCCCTGAGCCGAAGGCAGCGCCAAACCGCTGAGCCACCCGGGCTGCCCTTGGAATTGTTTCTCATTATGAATTGGGAAATTCAGAAAGATAGAGATTACAGTCAAACTTTTTTTTTTTTTAAGATTTTTTTCCTTTAGAGAGTGTGTGTGCATGCATACGAGGATGGGGGCAGAGGGAAAGAGAATCCCAAGCAGATACCCCACCGAGTAAGGATCCTGATGCAGGACTTGATCCCACAACCCTGAGATCCTGACCTGAGCTGAGATTAAGAATCAGACACTTAACCAACTGAACCACCCAGGTGCCCCACAGGCTTTCCTGATGCATAGACTATAGTAATACACTATGAATAAGTTTTAATAAAATTGGGGCACTGGGTGGCTCAGTCAGTTAAGCATCCAACTCGTGATCTCAACTCAGGTCTTGATCTCAGGGTTGTGAGTTCAAGCCCCGTGTCAGGCTCCATGCTGGGCATGAAGCATACTTTAAAAAAAATTTTTTTTTGTTATTAAAATTATTTTCTTTTTTTTTTCCATTGACGCATTTTATTTGCACGTATGAATTACATCCCTAGAAAAAGAATCCCAGGATTTTCCATCCTGTGTGTTTTTGTCTTGCTTCTTCATGGTCCATGATGCCAGGGGAGGTTGTCAGTACAATGAAGCCAAACTGGCGGGATGGGAGCAGGTTATTCTGTCATTTTTCTAGATCTTTCAGTTGTACATCAAATCTGGGACTGATCACTCCACACTTGTTTAACCTGCCTGTGAGGTTCACAACAATTTTCCCAGCTCTATGATCATCGATGATTTCAAATTCGCCAATGTAACCATGCTTCATCATCACAGTGAGAAATCGGATGATGACTTTGGAGCATGGCCTGATAAGAACCTGGCGCTTGCCTCTCTTTTCAGCGTTGTTGATGCTCTTGAGAGCATCTGCCAGGATGTTCATGCGCACCATCGTGGCGGCTCGGAGAGATTGCGGAAAGAGGACGGGAGGGGCGAGCGCCTAAAATTATTTTCATCCATGACTTTACTTAAATCTGTGGCCTTTGGTATCAAATTGAACATCAACTCCTCAGGTTCAATGTAATAATAGATTTAACCTAAGCCTTTCAGGGCTTAAGCATGATAGACTTGCAACTACTTACATAGAAGATGTATACAGGCCACTTCTGTATACTTCTGGGATTGTTTCTGCAGACCATATTTCTAGGAGTGAAAATATGGAGTCAAAAAATAGGATTACTGAATATTATCCATAGTTTTTGTTTTTTATTTATTTATTCCTGAGAGACAGAGGCAGAGACATAGGCAGAGGGAGAAGCAGGCTCCTTGTAGGGGAGTCTGATGTGGAACTTGATCCTGGAACTCTGGGATCATGCCCTGAACCAAAGGCAGACGCTCAGCCTCTGAGCCACCCAGACATCCCTTATCTTAGTTCTTTTTTTTTTTCTCAATATTGTCAGCAACAAAAAACTCTTATTTTCATTTTTGTTTCTTGGTTACTGATGAAATCATACAGTTTTTCATTACCAGCCATTTTGCATTTCTTCTGTGAATTGCCTGCTCACATCTTTCAACTAGATTGATTTATATTGAGGCAGTCTGTACCTTATTACTATTAATCCTTTGGCAGTGGGGATCTTGTTCTCCTCACTTGTAAGGAAAATTTTAGTATTTATTTCATTGAATCTGTCTTTTCCTTTCTAATTAGAAAGGTCTCCCCCACTCTAAGATAATAGAAATAATTCTGTTTAGTACTTGCAAAAACTACTCCAACTAGGTGTACTTTTTAAAAAAACTAATTAAAAATTGTATTTTGATGGGACAGATTGCATACATGTAAGTATGCTTGGTCTAGAATTTTTTGTGTTTTGATATGAGGTAAAAATTTCTCTTATTTTCCATGTTCATTTATTACAGTGTAGGCCCCATTTATTACGAAGTTAATCCTTTTCCTACTGATTGACATTCCCACTTTTGTCCCTGTTAAATCTTATTATATATACACACAAACCTGTTTCTGAATGCTTTGTTCTGTTCCATAACCTCTTTGCCCAGAGACAAGCAATCCATCTTTTAATTTCAGTTTTTTTCTTAGTGTGGTTTAATTTCAGTGTGTTTAATTTTAGTGGTTCCATAGTATGTTTTTCTTCTGTGGTCGGTCAAGCCTCCTCTCATTATTTTTGTTTTTCCACAATTTTCTCAGCCATTCTTGGGCATTTGCTTTTTCCATTGAATTTTAAAATGAACTTCTCAATAGGCTCCTCCCCAGTCCTCTTGGAATCTTAATGGAAATTGCATTAAATACAGAAGTTAATTTGGATATAGTTGGTTCTACTTTGATTAGTATTTAATTACCTTGAATCTTGTCACTTCAGTAAACTTTTTCCAGTCCCCTTGGCCAGAAAAGTTTGGTAAGTTATTTAAATACTGAATTTCTTTGAAAGGTCCACAAACATGTCCACATGTAACAAAAGTTACATTCATGCTTTCTAAAATGTAGACCATCTGTCCCTAGGCGCTTGGACTAGACAGTGCCAACGAGAAGGGCTTGTACAGGAGGGGTGAAGCCCAGCTGCTCATGAACGAGTTTGAGTCGGCCAAGGGCGACTTTGAGAAAGTCCTGGAAGTGAATCCCCAGAATAAGGCTGCACGACTGCAGATCTCCATGTGCCAGAAAAAGGCTAAGGAGCACAACGAGCGGGACCGCAGGATATACGCCAACATGTTTAAGAAGTTTGCAGAGCAGGATGCAAAGGTATGTGCAGAACTGTCTTTCCCTTCAGGTACATCAAAAACTGATCTTGCCCCTTTGGTTTTTGTTACAACAAGATTAAGCATAGGGCACAGGGTCAGATAGACAACCTAAGAGGCACAAGAATTGGGAAGATGATTTATGATCTGATCTGAGGCTGGTTTGGATCCATAAGAAGAATGGGCTGTTCTACTCACCAGACATGCAGAGTTATGAGGCACTGCATGTCTGTGAAAGGGATGAGAAAAATAAGTTCCCTAGAGATTAGGAAAACTTGCTAGTTTTTAAAAATCAAACACATCAAGTATTTTTTTAGATACTTTTCAGATATTTGTTGAGACTTCCATTTTCCCGGGCAGTGGGCCATGATAGGGAAGGCCCACCATCAATGCCCTTTTACTTCATCACCTCCCCTACAGCAAGGTTGTGTTCAGGTCCTGAGTTCATCCTCCACTCCCCAGTCCTCTTGTCACAACACCCCTGTGGCAAGCTAGTCCTTCCCACTGAAGAAAAGTGAAAGCTGTCCACTATACACTCTTGTCAGCACTGCTCTGACTTACCCAACCAGGCAGCCCCAGGAAAGCCACTGTAATGCTCTCCTGTTTGAGACCTGATAAGCAGTCAGGAGGAGCCAGGAATTATCTGAATGTTTCAGTTTTTTCTCTAACCCTCTTGATATCTTATTTCTTCCTCAGGAAGAGGCCAGTAAAGCCATGGGCAAGAAGACTTTAGAAGGGGTCACCAATGAAAAAGAAGCAGAAAGTCAAGCAACAGAAGAAAAAGCCGGAGGCCATGTATGACACCACGCAAAGGAGGGAAGAGCCCTAATGAACTCGGCCCCTTCCTCCATGGGCTGTCACCCAACTCAGGACTCAACAGTGTTTCATGTAAAGTTTGTTATAGTCTGTGCAAATCTGGAAGCAAATGGCAAAACCAGTAGCTTCCCAGAAAACAGCCACCCTGCTGCTGCCCAGCGTGCTCCTTGAGAGGGTGGCATGGGACCACTCCCGGTGGAACGAAGCAGAAGTGACTATTGATGTGGTGAGATCGAACCACCAGCTAAGTCCAGCTCATTTCAGTTTGTGTCAACTTTCAATATCTAATTCAGGGTCCCTTGAGATAATCCTAACAATTTGGGCTGTCTGTTAGGTTTTACATCTGATTGAACTTTTAATAGCACTGCAGAAACCTAAAAATAAATGCTTAATGATTTTCTCCTTTCCTGCAGTTGGGTGGGAGAGAGGAGGAGGTCTTGGTTTTTAAATGACTGAAGTGCTAGCATTCGTAACCAACACAACCCATAGGGAGAGGGGTCTGGAATCCCCTCAGGTTCTCCACAGTGCCAGACTCTGAAGCCAGAACCTCAGAGGCCACTTGCTTGCTGACTTTAGTCAAACTTCCTCACTAAGCCAGTCTGCTTGGGAGAGTGGGGCTCTCTGGCACCCAGCCTGGCCCTGGAGGAGGGAATCTGTCATTTCCAAAACATTCTTCAGCAATGATAATGAGCAGAGGGAGTTTCTAGATTAGCTTTCCCTGCTTTCCCTGAAGTTCTGAGATGCTGAAATGTGAAAAGAGTAATCAGAATTATGCATTTTCCCCTCCTCTGTCTCTTGTAGGAACTAATATGGAGTACCGTACTGCCTGCTAGCATTGCTGCCATTCAGTTTCTGATTTCCATTCTAAACCTTGCTATTAAGAATTTAAGACTTGTTCTTAGAATATCTCTGACCTGGAGTGGATTTATTTACATATCCACTTAGGATTCATGCAGCTTTTTTTTTTTTTTTGTCTTTTTTAAATCACTGGCTCATAAACATGTATACTGGTTTATGGAACTTTATTTACACTCCTCTATCATGCAAAAAATGTTTGACTTTTTACTACGAAGTAGCTTGATTTTTAAAAACAAAATCTGCAGAGTTGGAAAAATAAGCAGTTGCTCTTGTACGTTAAGGGTTTTCCTCGCAGGTTTGGCACGCAGCAACTTTCTTATGGCTTCTTTGTTCTGGTGTAAGTCGTGAAAAAGAACTGAAAACTGCTTCCTGTGCAGGCACATCTAGCCTAAAAGCTCCAATCCTGGGGCATTGAATCAGGGCAAGTCAGAGTACGTACATGTAGTGGAATCTTGGTCCTTACGGGTAAGTGAGATTGAACATGGCTTTCTCTCCCCATGGCCTGAGAAGCACTTGTGGGAATGCGTTTGCAATCAAAGGAAACAGTAGCTCCAACCTGGAACATCTCACTTTGTAAAATCCTAAAGAACACTGGCAATTACTAGTTTTAACTTTTATGGTGGTTTTAGCAAAACACTTGTTAGGTTAGGACCCACATCAAAACCTAAAAATAAAATAATTTCCATTTATACCATTTTTTTTTCTCCATGGAACAAGTGGAATTAAATTGTGAGTTTCTCCTTTGACAACTAGAATGCTTTTAATTCTCACTTTTGTCTTTATTCATGAGATTTCTTTTAAAAGCCCCAATCTCGCCTAGGAAATATGAAAAGCAGAAGTTGATTTTGCTTTGTTGCTTGACTGTTTAGTATTTGTAGCTCTTTTGACTAGAGCATGACTCCAGTGAGATTTGATTCTAAGGCCAGTTAGCTTTTTGCAGGTAGCAAACAAAAAAACAGGTTCTAAAACTTAGATTATCCTAGCCAATTGTCTCCAAATGTGTGTTATGGGTCACCAGCAGGGAGTGGGCAAGAGTGTGCACAGAGGGGAGGACAGGGGGTATGCAGGTAGTTCTGAGAAAATGAGGGTGAGGTGCCCATCACCACTCAAGAAAAAGAAACTTCATATGTTCTTGTATCAAATTCAGTAATCTTAATTTGTCTAGAAACCAGTGGATGTCTTTGAACCATCTTTCAGACTGCATTTGGAGTGCTGAGGCAGCATATATGATGAATTGAAAACTTGTTTTTTAAAAAAAGAAAAACATTCAGATGCACTTTTTTGTGTTCCTTAAATAAACAACCAAACATGATTTCCCCTTATTCTTGGGTTTTGCTTAAATAGTCTTCAGAAAAAGTTGTTTTGGTTGGAAAACTAGGGTGGGGGCCAAGTTGAAGAACTACAACCTTAGAAAATTGGCTGCAGACACTATTGTCCTCCCTGCTCAGAGGCACAGCTTGAAATCAGCATTGGGCTAAAGGTGGTAGAAAGATGCATCTTTGTTCAGATGAACCAAATCAGAAAAACAAGAAGATTTTTTTTTTCTCATCAGCCAGTGAGTATTCCACTATTTTAGCTAATTGTAAGGTAGGTTCAATTTGGGAAATGAAGAGGTTTAATTATGTGCTAATTTGCATAATTAGTAAATATGTAAAACATAAGCATGTGGTGGGTGATCCTCTGGGTTAAGCATGCCCTTTCTCTTTCTTAAGTAGCATATTTCAGCAGATGCTCATGGTTACATACCCAGAAGGGTTAAGGAGATGTCACGTACACTGCAAAAGAAAGGTGACTACCTGAGGTAGTGGCGAGCCTGCCTCCAGGAGGACTAGTGACTGGCATCTGCAGACAGGTCAATGTAGGCTCCAGACACTTTGCCATATATTCCCTCTGAATTCCATGCTTCATCTCCAGGTTTGAATTCTAGACATACCCCTTTGCTGCTAAATTATTTGGTAATGAAATAATTCCTTTTATTTGCATGTTTTTTCTAAGCAAATAACAATCATACAGGGGGTAGGTAGTAAGGATAGCCACAGAGTTTCGCAGTTGTTAATTTGTGACCTGGGTAATTCAGGGCAGCCCGCGTCCATCCCACAGCATGAGGAGTATCAATGAAGAGCTTTGTCCATACTTGCTCAGCCTTTTTAGCGGCTCCCTTCTAGCATGGTGCATTAGGATGTATTCTCTGAGACCGGCAACCCTGGGAGACTCACAATGCACTGAATTTGAGCTGTTTAGTCAAAATCCCAAAATTTTGAATTCCCTAACCTACCTGTATATTATTTCCATCAATTGGCTCCTTACATGTTTGAATAACAATGACTGGCAAAAATGTACATTAAAGGACATTCTTTAACAGCTTGAGGAAGTTTTCAGGGACCCTCACTCAATGCTTCCTTTCTTATTTTTCTCCTACAAGGCTGACGTTTGGTGGGGAGATAGGGACAGGATACCAAGAAGGCACAATAATTTCATAACTGCTATTTGCATAATTTATCTCTTGATCTATAATTGCATATCATCTACGTGTGTGACCTTAGTAATACATTGCAAAAAATGGATATCGCTGACGTAACTCCCAAGAGGATCTTTATCAGTATCCTGTTGGAGCTAACTGCTACCTACCTATGGATAGGACAATAAGAGTATAGTCCATGATGCAGAAATTCCCTGAGGATCTTGGAGAATCAAATGGGGGGTGGGGAGGCGGGTAAGACCCTAAGTGGTGAAGTGGCTGGCCCACAGTTATCCAGGTCAACTGATAGCCTTATATAGTTATTCTAGTTTGTGTTACAATCTCTTGGCACTAGAATGAGATATTGGTACCTCTTTAAAATCCCCAAGAAGCGGCGCCTGGGTGGCTCAATTGGTTAGGTGGCTGCCTTCAGCTCAAGTCATGATCCCAGGGTCCTGGGATAGAGCCCCACTTTGGGCTCCCTGCTCAGCAGGGGTCTACTTCTCCCTCTGTGTGCGTGTGTGTTCTCTCTCTCTCTCTAAGTAAATAAATAGAAATATTTTTTAAGAAGAAATCCCCAAGCATTTGGTGGACCTGAAATGGCAGCAGAGCCATAGGCTTCATCATTTTACTTTGGAGTAAAAATACAGGAAATGTGCTAATATGTAAAGGATAGGCATGTTTTACTTTTTAAAGAATGCTCTAGTGAAGCTGGTCAAAAAAGTATACAGGAATTTTCTGTACTATCTTTGCAGGCCTTATGTAAATTAAAATTATTCAAAAATTTAAAAAAATTAAGTGATGATTAAATACCCTTTAACTGGCTCCAGAAATTCCACTGATAATTTATCCTAAGGAAATAGTTTAAGATGTTTGCAAAGATTTAGTCATAAGCTATTAACAGGAAGTAAATAAGTCCACACAGTAGGTGATTGGTTAAATACAATTGTTATAATCAGTGGCATATTCTACAGTTACTCAAATGACATTTTGTAAGTAATTTCAGTGATAACAGTGTAGGAGTGCTGACAATACTGACTTCATCTTTGCCCCTCCATCTTGTTCATGTTTGCTCAGAAACCTCTCTTGGGGATGTATGTTGTGGGCCCCTTGGAGGTTAATACTTACTTACATAAGAAATGCCCACCAATTCCAGGACAGGGGGAGGTTTTAGCTTTCAGAAACAGGTTTTAGCTTTCAATGAATCTGTTAAGATAATAATGTGCCCTTCCTGATACACCGATGGTGCCATAAGATCTAATTAAAAGTTAGCTGTCAGGTCCATGCAAGCCCTTTGAGGTACGTGTGAACCCTTTAATCTCACTACAATGCCCTTCTGCATGTCCCCTCCATAATATCTGTGAACTTAGGATTTTGTAGAGAATAACTATGCAACTGCCGTAGAACATCTTCCATCTGATCCCCCACTGTAGTAAATTACCCTGAATAAAACCCTGAGTAAACCATTAAAAAAAAAAAAAAGGAATGCTTTGGATTAAGAGAAGGAATTTCCCAAACGTTTGGGTTCTTTTTCAGATCCTCTTCTCTAGGTAGTAGAACCTTACAACCCACCACCTTGGAGTCTGTTGGGAGCAAGAGAAGGCAAAAAGTTTTCCTTTTACCTCTGCTCATTATGAGCATACACTTAAATATTCGTGCTTGGAGGGACCCAAACACGCCTTTTTAACATAATCAAAGGCAAGTAGATAAATCTATCATGCCAGACACTGACAAAGGTAGGGTAGGTATCAGCTGCTAGGAACAGTGCATAGGAAAAGCTGTCCTGCAGCCACAAGCTGAAGCTGGTCATAACTATTTGCTCAGTGCTTGCTCTGTGCCAGGGACTTAAACCTCCCCCTTTCCACTGACCTTCCAAATATAAAAAGAATATGTTTGCTGCATTGTTCCCACTTTCCAAGTCTCTTACAAGATCATGTGATCCATACCCAAAACTACGCGAGGAGAGAATGTATTTAAAACTGGCTTAGAAAAAAAATAAAAAAATAAAAATTAAAAAAAAAAAAACTGGCTTAGTTTGGGCAGCCCCGGTGGCGCAGCGGTTTGGCGCCACCTGCAGCCCGGGGTGTGATCCTGGAGACCCGGGATCGAGTCCCACATCGGGCTTCCTGCATGGAGCCTGCTTCTCCCTCTGCCTGTGTCTCTGCCTCTCTCTTGCTCTCTCTGAATGAATAAATAAGTAAATCTTAAAAAAAAAAAAAACTGGCTTAGTTTGACACATTACAAATACACTAGGTGTCTAAGCCTTCCTTTAGGTAGTAAATATTTCTGGCCTGAGTCTGCGTTGGATCACGTGTTTTCATAAGGTAACTCTTTGCTATACACATTATGATTTGGCTTTAAGATTCTCTCAAATTTCTGACCCAGAAAATGAGGTGGGAAGAACAAGTAGCCAGTGATTGGTATTTGAGGTTACCATGTCCAATTCTAGTTGCTCTACTAACTTAGGTCTACTTGCAGCCATCTCTTCACCCTGAGAACTCCTGATCTGTCTAAAAACTTAAGCCCACATGTATACTCTCACCCTCTACAGACACCAAAGTCCTCCTAAAAATGACACTGGCCTGAACATATACTTGGTATTCATGTGACCACCGAGAGACCCAGGAGCTCACTTACTCCTTGACTCCTCACCATCTCAGTACTAAGTACACCATCACCAACATCGTACATAGTAGATGCTCAATAAATTGGTTTTCTGGCCTTTCTCACAAAGTAGACCCACACGTCAATCTCAGTGGTCCTTCATTCCTGTCACTTATCTTGATAGTATGGAGGCCAGAACTACATGGTTTCCTAGCAATTCCTACAACCTGATTTTTTGTGTTGAATTCCTTGAGGTGGTGAGGTGGGGGCATAACTGCAAAATGGGGCTGTGGTCTTCAGGCTATATTGACTTTAATTAAGTCTGTGTCCAGTCACACTGATAACTCAAGAATTCATCGTCCTGCACAGATGGAATGGAAGAAGATTCTGGGAAGATGGCAGAGTGAAATTGATGCTAAAGCTCTCTCCAGGAAGCTCTCCCCACCTTCACAACAGTTGCAGGATCACAACGGCAGGATCTAAGTAAATATTTTGCAGCCCTGGAGTCTGTTGAAGAACCACAAATTCTCGGGGAGGGCAGGGATGGTAAATTGCAGTTTCACTCAATTTCAGGGCTTAGCACCCTCCAAATGGCAGGCAGTTCGCAGGTTTTTCTGGAGCAGCTTCCACAGCAAAAGGCACAGCATCTCTGAATATTGGGGATCATGCTCTGCTGATTGCTGCTTGTGATGGCTGAGGAGAAAAGAGGTGGGCAAATGTGCATATTGAGGGAAATTAGCAAGTGATAGCACATGCCGAGGGAAGGACTCAGAAAATACCTTAAAGACCTTACATTTGGAGCACCTGGGTGGCACGGTTGAGCATCTGTCTCTGGCCCAGGTCGTGATCCCGGAGTCCTGGGATCGAGTCCCGCATTGGGCTCCCTGGGGGAGCCTGCTTCTCCCTCTATGTCTCTGCCTCTCTCTGTGTCTCTCATAAATAAATTTAAAAAAAGAAAAAGAAAAAAAGACATTACATTTGCCCCCTTCAGTTTGATCCTTAGCACAGAGATAGCCTATAACAACTAAAAATAAAACCAATAACAAGCACCAAACCCTGGGTGGAGGGGGAGAAACTGATTTCCAGAGTTAATACCACATTATTAGATTCAAATGCTAGTGTTCAATTAAAAAAAAGTCACGAGGCATTCAAAGAAACAGGAAAGTATGGCCCATTCAAAAGAGAAGAATAATTCGATAGAATCTGTCCTAAAAAGAAAAAAAAAAAGGACTTTAAAGCAATAGTCTTTT